AGGTCCATACCATTTCTGTCCTTTATTGAGCCCATCTTTGCATGAAATGTTCCCATGGTATCTCTAATTTTCTTGAAGAGATCTCTAGTCTTTCCCATTCTATTGTTTTCCTCTATTTCTTTGCATTGATCACTGAAGAAGGCTTTATCTATGGACAAATCCTGATTTTTTAAAAATGTAATTAAAGTAAGGCCATCTGTTGAATGGAATCTGAAATTTACTTTTATAATTGTCAATATTAAAGAGCTTCAAAAGTGATCTTTATAATATAATGTTTAGTAATATATTTCTTTGAAATGATATAGGTCTATCAATATTTTCTTTATTAGATATTATGCAAAATGATGAAATCGAAACTATTTAAAGTGTTTGTGAGGTTTTAAATTGCTGTGAGAGGAACTTAAGAGTAAGAAAATATCAGTAAACCCTGCCTTCTGCTTGGCTGATGTCCAAGCTCAGCCTTGGGTTTCTGGGCTCCGAACCCCATAACAGCAATTTTATTTTGACCCTTTCCACTCTGGAGCCTCTGGCAAGCTTCTGTGAGTCACATGTAATACAAACATTTCCCAAATCCTATGCATGGATCATCTTTACCTATCTTCACAAAAACTTGTGAGACTCTCCAGGAATTAATTCTAGAAATGTACTTTTCTGTCATTTCCTCTATTTCTCATGAATACCCATGCACTTTATAGACCCTTGACAACAGTATAAATAGGTTTCACTGCTACATAACAAAACAAAACCTACAAATCATTGGAAAACTGGAACAAGCACTGTGAAATTAATAGGAAACAGTAACAGGTTGCTCCCAAGGCTAACAAAGAGGGGTTGCATGAATGGGGGTATATCCATGTTGCTTTTGGCATTTATGATTCATGGCTTTGCCTTAAAGAAAAACATTTAAACTGATCAAACGATGACTAATTTCCTTGACCCCTTGTGCCAAAAGCTAGAAATTAACTTTGTTTTTTTGGAACAAGGGGGAAAGTCTGTCATTGAGCATTCATTCTCATGAAGTCATGCTAAATACATTCTTTGGGTGACCGCCATGCCACCAACTTGACTCCCAAGTGTCTCAGGAGTGGTTACTGAGATCTACAAACAAAGAAGGTCCCAGATCCGGTAAACTCAGTTGGAATTTGATAGAATTCACGAAAGTTCATGGTTCATGCTTTCTACTCTCTGGGTCTTTCAAATCCTGTGACCCCTAAACATGGTATCAGTGCTTCAAAACATTTAATCTTGGGAATAAGCTTCGTTTCGTATGCTCTTTTGTTTTGGGATCTGGTCCCTAGTAAGGTAGGCTCTCCACTATGCTGCAATTCTCTACTGTGGTTAATAGATGACGCAGAAAAATAGACATTTCAGTACCTAAAGATAGAAGACAAGGTGAGCATTTTTGAAACTTAAAAAAAATCAGGCTAAAAAGAAATTTACCAAGTTAATGGGATTAGGGAGGGAATACAGTGTGAGGGGCATCCAACCCCAGGTGCCACATCAATTCAAAAAGAGATGGACAGGGAGACAGGACCCTGCAGTGTCTGTAGAACTAACGGAGGCTCTCATGGGTTTCCGAGGTACTCAAAACCAACCCAAAGCCTCTGAAACTCTGCTCTGTCCTACAATTAACCAAAAGCCTACAATTTAATTTGGAAAGTCTAATGCCTGACTCAAAAGCAGATTGGATTTCACTCTCTCTTGAGAGGACTTGATCCTTCTGGTAATCTTTTTTTCTTTTCTTCTTGGCTATGAAAAAACTGTCATAATATTTACATGAGTAGAGGACAGCTGTTGTTTTTGCCTGTCTTACATCTGATCTTTCTTTCATTGAACCCGTCCCTCCCCACATGGCCTTTTGACTTGGGAAAGCCTGAGTAAGAACACCCACCTCTCCCCAGACACAGGCTGGGAAAAAGCCAGGTCTCACTTGCCGTGATTCCATGCCTGTGAACTCAGTGATAGATTCAGGGGGATGCAACCCAAACCAGGCCAACTTGACTCAAGGTCCTGGACTTTTGTGGGAATTACTGAGAAAGAAGAGTTTTCTTTTAACCAAGACGATGAAGCTGAAACCAGGAGGATGTACGTCTGGACTTGACCGGGGCCAGCTCTCAGCCTGCTTGAGAAGGAAGGTGGAGGGCAGAGAGCGGGGGATGGGGTCCGCTGAGCTCCCGAGGCTTCCATGCGCCTGAGGCAGATGCTGGGGGACGTCTCGGTGTGCTAGGCATGGGGTAGGCAACCCTGCTACTCGAGTCCCTGCTGTTTGCGCTTTTTACCACTGACAAACTAAGCAGGCACCCCTGACCAGCACAGCCTTGCTGCTTTATTCACAAGCGCTTTGGGGATTTATAGGTATGACCACAGGCAAAGTCCTCAAAAGAAGTCATTTGGGGAAACGGAATCCCAGAGAACAACACTGACCAGCTGTCGGGTTAGAGCAGAAACGAGCCTGCTGACTCCATCTCAGAGTAAAAGTGCACGAGATCGGACACGGGATTTT